CATGCATACATTACACATTCATCGTTTTATCCAACAACAAACACATACATATTTCTTCATTTAAATATTACAATAATTGAATTAAACTTATGTTCACATGAACATTCTTATTTTCGCAATACAATAATATTTTTAGTTAATTATTTTCAATAGTTAGTACGTTCGTGTACATACATACAAACATATTCGTTTAAAAATTATTTTTTTAAGAATTTTGTTCGAAACTTCATATAAAAAAGTTTGGTTACAATAAAAAAAAACTGTATTTCACACCTTCAAAGTGTTAAAATACGCACTATTATTATTTATGTCATCTTATTTCTTCAATGCCTACCGCTTCGAAGGAGTTTAAAGCCTTCTCAGTTGGCGGCTCCCCGAAATTGCCAGCCAAATTTCAGGCCGCCAAACTTCGAAATAGCATCGACAGTTTGCGTAACATTGTCGTACCGTTGGAGAATAGCGCCGCTCGTGTAATTGCTGTTGGGTCGGGTGTGAGCGCGGGTGTTGACGTGCGCGGAGCTGATCTTTTTCGACAACACCTACAATCGCAATCATCAACTTAAATGTCGACACAAATGCGAAGAACAACAAAAAAAAAAAAAATAATTAACAAATTTACTAAAATGCATTCGTAATATTTATAAAGTATGCTTAAGTGCATTCACTCACACAATTTTAAATTTTGCATACATGCATACTGCAAAATAATTATGGGCAAGAAAAATTTCATAAATGCAAAGTTAATAAACATACATAAATAAGTAAAGCAAACGTTAATGCACGCGTATATATGTAAGTAAGTACATATGCATTTAGGTGTGCAAAGCTGCGGGTTGTGCAAAAAAGATATACATACACTTGCAACTATTCGAATTATTTTTTTTATTGCTTTAAGTCTATGCACCAGCACTAAATCATTGAAATTTTCCTCTAAAAGTGATTGGAAAACTGCGTTTTTAGTTTTTCACTCTGACGTCAGGATTTTTTTTTTAAAGACTTTGAAATTTTAAAGACGTGGTTAATTAAAAAAATTATTAAGAAAATTCACTGCAAGTAGAATAAAAATATGCGTACCAAAATGAAAGAAAGGCTTTTGTAGATTAAAAAAATAAAATTTTTTGTTTCACAAGGATAGTGAAAACGCCCTTTTATTCAAATTTTATTTTTTTAAGCTAATAAAGGTAAAAGGACGGAATAAGAGAATTTGGTCGAGTGTATTTTAGTGCTTAACATCAAATTTTTTTCAAAAATAAATATTGCAAAATTTCAAGCATATATTTTAAAATTTTTAAAATTTTAAATTTTGTATTTTTTTTCTGAATTTGCTTTTTTATTTGATACCCATATTGTTATTCTACATTGCACTGACTTTTTTAGATAATTTTATTTTTTAATAAATTCGAGCGTTTATTTTTCATACAGGAATAACACGTAAGGAAATGAGTTCTTCCCTTTTGAGGTCAATATAATTAACTAGGATCAATTACAGATCAGACGAATAAGACGAAGAAGGCCAAAAATTTAAAAAGGCAACCATACGTTTGGCAAAAAAAATTTTTTCGAAATTGCCTGGCAAAAAATTTTAGACTCAGACTCCTAAACGGCGATTTTTTTTTTTGGTGCGGTTTATACATAGGTACGTATATACAGTATCGGTCATATCTATAGCACGCCATTTCGAAGTGATATTGTGTGCAACTTATGTTTATTTGTTTATTTTTGACAATTTTCAATTAAAATACAGTTCTTTCTCTAACAAACCCCATATAAACCAAAGTTTAACAATTTGTAGAAAACTTCAAAAAAGTGCAACAAATTTTCACCTAAGTTTCAAACTTTTTTCTCGGCAGTGTTAGAATTTTTTCGAGTACACAGTTTTTTAGCCCAATCAATTTTAGTCTGATAATGTGCAAGTTTCAAGTGACTGAAAGTTACCGTTGATTTTTTAGAATTTTTTTCGCCAAAGGTGTTGCGGTTTTCATCCATATACAAATAAGTTGAGTTTATTCATTATATGGAAGCCAATGCGACAAAAAAAATTCTAAAAAATTAACGGTAATTCGTAGACATTTGAAATTTGCACGTTATCAGACTAAAATTGCAGTGGCTAAAAAACTGTGCACTCGAAAAAATTCTAACACTGCCGAGAAAAGAGTTTGAAACTTAGGTGAAAATTTGTTGCACTTTTTTGAAGTTTTCTACAAATCGTTAAACTTGGGTTTATATGGGGTTTGTTGGAGAAAGAACTGTATTTTAATTGAAAATTCTTAAAAATAAATAAATAAACATAAGTGGCACACAATATCACTTTGAAATGGCGTGCTATAGATATGACCGATACTGTATGTGCATCTATACGTCATAGAGTTTAAGCTTCAGCCCTTTTAAGTAAACTTGAAGTGCAAATCAAGCAATTTGGGGATTACGAAAATAGAAACATAAAGAAAGGCTATTTTTATTTTGATGCGCAACTTATATTTTGTTTTGCGACAGAGAAGCTTGATAAAGAATGCATAAATTTTCGCGTACTCTAAGTAATATGAAGCATCATAAAAAATTAGTCTTTTTTGCTATTAAAAAAAAGCTTAATAAAAAAAGAAACTATA